CAATATCATATTCTTTAAGTTCTTTTTAAGAGTCTTGCGTGGGGTACATAATTATTCACATAGAGGATGACATAACACTCACATGGGGTGGGGCCCACCAGTTTGGTGGGGTCCACCACATGTGAGTGTTATGTCATGCTCTATGTACAATAATTATGTACAACAAGAATTATTCATTTCTAATTGCACCTTAACTTCATGCTACATCCATTTCAAGGATGATGTTTTGTTGGAAAAAAGAGAAGGAAAAAACTAACAAAATTTAGGAAATGACAAAAAAAAAAAAATAAAAAATGTAAGGATTAGGTAAAGATTTGCGCATTAAAAAAAAAAAAAAAAGCAAGGGCAAGACGAGGAATAAAAAAGAAAAGGGAAAAGAATATTCGAGGCAATCCATTGCTCCAGTGACTTCCCTACTCGTCTTCCTCCGTTGGATTCTACTTGCGCCCATTGCCCTTGGTAGCTATCTTTTGATTTCTTCATCCCTTGTCCCATTCTCCATTATCTCTTCCATACGCATTACATAGTAATGACAAGAAAGAAGTGCGAACTATTGTATTCACCATGGTTGATTATAATTAAGAAAATGCTGAATGTATATCACCATGTACAAACTCTTTTACAGATTGTTGAGGTGTCAAACAAAGTGAAATTTTTTTAATGAAATTTTGACCCCAATCAAAATTTGTTTGTAAAATGTGATGATATGTCAAAAAGGAAGTGAGATTTTTTTTTTTTTTTAATGAAATTTTGATACTAATCAAATCTCGTCTGTAATTGTGATGTACATGAATCGATATAATTATCTGTAAAAACCGTCAACGATAAAGAATAAGAAGTCCTCACCAACTAAATAACATATTAATTGTCATTGACATTACCATGCTAAAAATTAGGCATCGAGAAATGTTACTACTCGTTCAGTCTTCAATTGTATATGAGATTAAAGAGAGGAAAATCAGATAAAAGAAGGGACGAGGACGACGAGAGTTGGGAGTTTTCTTTCATTTCTATTTTTGATTTAATTAGACGACAATGATGCCGTTAAAATTTCAATGAAAATCAGGAAAGATCGATAATTTTTTAAATCAAAATTCCAAATCCCATATAAAATATTTATATTTATATAAACAATTTAGAAGAAATATGTCGTGCCATAAAAGTTGAAGATTAAAGACTCCGATCCTCTTAAGATTTTAACAAAGAGCATAAGTATAATTTGAAGTTCCAAGTTAAAA